AAACATTCATACCTTTACTAGCGAATCTTAAAGAGCGTTAGTTTCATAATTAGTTCCCACAAAGCCTGTATGTCCGCACCCACTAACGACCTTAAACTAAAATATTATTCGAGTTGCTAAAGATGCGTTGCTAATGGTGCCTGGTCTTAATGATTTTAGTTTTCATGTTGTTTTCCTGAGCTTTTCATGTCTGATTGTTGAACTGGATGTCTGTCAGTGCCCGTGTCTGGATATGTCTCTCAGCTGATCAAATACACCGTCCACCACTTTGAATATTAACAACTCACTGGTTTCCAAGCATACTTTAGTGAAATTGTTTGTATAGAGAGCAAATGTATTTCTTTAATCTACTTAAAACTAAATGCTTTTAGACGTTTTTGACAGTTGATCCAAAGATGAAAGTGTATTTCTTCATAGCACAAGTGTTTATATGTGTTGGAGGTGGTGGGGTCGCCTAGTGATCAGAGGGTTCGTTCGTCACGCCGAAAACTCGGGTTCGATTCTCCACATGGGTACAATGTGTGAAGCCCATTGTGTCCCCCGCCGTGATATTGCTGGAATATTGCTGGAATATTGCTACATGCGGTGTACAACCATGCTCACTCGCTCACTGATATATGTTGGCGGATCATTTTTGATTCACTGTATTCCTATACAGCACAGAAAAACTGAACACAAATGTGATCCAGATCCGCTCGAAGAGAACATTCTGTGTTCCGCTAATATTTCTTTTCATATGCAAGGCTTTACGAAACTTTTACTCATGAGGGAGCATGTTCAACGTCTGACACATTCTTGTTTGTTTCTCTTGATCCATTTTAACCTCCACTTCCCATCTGCCTGAACACGGGGTCATTTGAGATCAATAGAATCGAGAATACTGGGGTTTTCCAGGGTTTGTTATCGTACATTATAATGTTCTCTGCATTGAACTGTCTCCACCCACTTGCCGTGTGCTAATGAGAGCTATTGTTACATTCTGAGGCTACGAAAACAACGAAAACCCACTCTTTACCAGTTGTTACATGTTTGGCGAGCGTAAGCCTGATCTCAAAATTGTCTGATGATCCGATGGAACATGTAATCGATATGTTTGAGTTCAAATTTTCTCCCCTCAAAGAGTGGTGTCTCTTCCAAAGTGTAAAACATACTAAAATGTGGTTGACGGCGATGCCATGCAATCACAAGGCTCTGATAAATGTTATCCCAATCGAACTGCATTAATTACATTGAAAATTCTAGTGTGCATGTGTTTTAGAATGTGATACTGACTAGAGTTTAGGTGTTGAACTTTCGCGTTTTCCGCCCACAGGAACACCTAATAGCCTTCTGGCATCGGAACTCGTTATGTGATGTTTCATCATCACTGATCATGTCTCTTGTATTATCACTCACTTTTACATCTATGTTATCACTTATTTGAGTTATCCATTCAGAAAATTTTAACTGCTAATTTGCCGTTCGCATCCAATTGAATACTAAACTAGTTCTCTAACGTTCATATTTATTATAATGGTGTTCAGCTCGGGCTTTGCTGATTTCATATCGAGGATGATGTTAACATACTCTGATAAATCATGTAAACTGGGTAATAAGAGAATCCTAGTAGTTACAAACCAGTATGCGTGTAAGGAGTATAAACATGCGAAAGAAACTGTGCGTCTAAATGTTCATACCATGCGCATATATACGTCACAGACCGAAGGCTATGTTAGAAGTAAACACCACTTCCACGACAACCGTATTTGCAGTATATTGTCTTCAGAAGCTATTAAAGTCAAGAAAATAACGAACGCTGGAAAATGGGGATACTGTATTTCGCTGAGCCTTGTGCCTTTTCAGGGGTGGCATGGAACCTCCACTTCACAGACAAGCTATTAGTCAAGACAATAATGGGGGAGTGGGGGCGCATGGTGCAATATAAACTTCTTAAATCAATTCCTAGATCCTAGAGTGCACATACAAGAAGAAATTGCCATTTCTGATAACATTTAATCATAATTCTGAATTTATAATGCGCCTTTTCCATATACAAGGCACATGCTCACAGCTCTAACACACAATCTGAACAGAGGCAACTCTTTTGCCTAAGGTGATACCATATGTACCACACGTGCTTCGTGATGAGTGATGCGTATGGTATAGGTTTTGTTTAATGCTCGGAGATAGTCCGTTCTGAAAGAACAACGTGTGATGCTTTTGAAACGAACAGTACCTCATGTGTGCAGTTTGATCTGACCTTCGTTATCATATCATATCATGTCACATGTACTGTTATTCAAATGAAAAAATAACAGTTCCGTCAACATGACCTAATTTTATCACAATATCTTACTGATGCACTATTTCACAGTAATGGCAGCAGATGTGTTCGACATGTAACACTCGGAGTGAGTTTAGTTTAGTTAACATTTCACCTATATGGCGGCAGTCTGTAAATAATCGAGTCTGGACCAGACAGTTCAGTGATCAACAGCATGAGCATCGATCTAACCAATTGGGAACCGATGACATGTGTCAATCAAGTCAGCGAGCCTGATCACCCAATCCCGTTAGTCGCCTCTTACGACAAGCATGGGTTATTGAAGGTTCATTCTAACCCGGACCTCCAGGGGTGTAACACTCGGAGGAAGTAATAGTGAGTGAGTATGGTTTTACGCCGCTTTTAGCAATATTCCAGCAATATCACGGCGGAGGACACCACAAATGGGCTTCACGGAGGAAGTAATAATGATCAAATACAAATGTAGTAATGATAACAGGTGTGGGTGAAAAGGTGTGAGTATCCTGCCCAACACTAAACAACCGTTACAAACACACGCAAAGGCAAGTCGATCGAAAAGAACACGGTGATTTATGAAAGAAGTCAAAGTGGGGGACAGCCTCCGATTCTGAAGCATTATTGTCAATAATGCGTCAGAAGTTTGGAAATGTCTACCATAAAACGTTTGAATATTTTAAACGATTGAATTTTGTACACGTGAGTCTCGGGATGACATTTTGCATAATAGAAGTGTATTAGATTAGTACGGCCACTGGGCTTGTAATCTGCATATTGTGGATCTAATCTGCGATAGAACCACTTGACTAAACTTTGGATTGTCTCAACATCAATTTGGACTGAACTGTTTACTGTCCTCGAGTGTACTGTGAAATTTGCAGTCGAAATCTCTAAATTTAATCAGAATACATTAAGGACACGTTTTCGAAACACTTTGATTGCCGGTTACAGGTAAGATTACAAGTGACAGTGACGAAATTAGTATTGGCTGATTTAATTTCACCCAAACCTTCATGACTGATGGCTAAACTTAGATGTAGACACCAGAGACAACTCCAATTCTTATTTCAACTCCTGCTGGTCTCAGGAAACTTACAATCTTACAAAGGAAAGTATTTCTCAGCTGACATAAATACGATTTTGTCAACTTCAGCTGAAGCCATCATATACATATGACCTTTGGATCAGAACATCAGAATCTGTTTCGACAACTGAATATCTTGGGAAATTATAGTTTTGCTGTGGCTTTAATGTGTGACATTATACCGTGTGTATACGAATGCTGTATTGTTGCGGTCTGTTTTGACCGAGTTGTGATAGGAGATGCCAGATAGTGTGGAATTTCTATCAATCCGAGTCTGATCAACCACACCAGGATCATTGTTCACTAGTCTATCTCACAGTCCCTGAACCACACTATTTTCCCTAGCCCTCTCTGCAGTGCTAAAGCCCTAAATAAAGCAAGTCTAGATATCTCTGGTCTCCTGTTTGTTACTATCAAAATTATATATATACATATATATTCAGAGACCAAGCGTTAGTCTAATTGTTCACTAACGTGTAAACATCTGAGACAGTATCTAGTAACAATCACAGAAACAACGCTTTGACATAAGTTACATCGTTGTTCCGCTCACTAACACTCATCACCAGCTGCGGCAGAGCGGTCGTCAGAGGCGTCGCACCTTGCTACGAAGAGGTCAGAATCAGTGATCACGGGTTTGAATCCAGATCCCCTTGACTTGTATTCTTTGTCTGTCAGTACAACAAATTGTCAGTTCAAAATTTTCACTGAGGCGGTAATCGTCTCAAGGTTGGGTTTCCTCCAAGATTAATGTGTCATGATTCCCGGCAATCAGATCACCAGCAACCTATTCCTGGCGTGAGGCCTGGTTTCAATCGTCCTGGTAGATATCGTCATTCTACCTCTGACAGAGGTCAGTCTTAATAAGCAAAGAGAAACACATTACCATGTCTTTGAAGTAGTTATCTTCATCAAGGCCAACATAGACCTCGCCATCTACGGAATCGGAATAAGCAGCTCGGACAATGCCCTCGGTTGAGACCAATAAGCTGCCAAATGTTTGAATGAGCACAAGGTTCGACCAGGACTTTCAATGATACGTGGACGGCATCTAAGGTTCCTAAGATTGCTTTTTTAACGCCGCACTCAGTAATAAGGTTCATTAGACCAGTTTGGGACAGTATGTGTATACTCTTCACAGGTGAGTTCGAATTTCATCTGGACACCTCAGATGTATAGCTGTGACACCACACCACCCCTCTATTAGAACGAATCTTCTCTTATAAGGCACTGTGGTTTCAACGAATTTGTAATGATAGAACATTGATAAGGCGAATTACCAAATATAATGTTAGGTGTTTTTTTACACATATCAGTTCCAAACCATGGTTAATGATTGAAAAAGTTAGGTCTAATGGTGTATTAATTCGGGCTCTTCTTACATATTAAGTTGACATACCGTGATTAAACCGCAATTCAAAATACTGTTCCAAGCAGCGGCACTACCAACCCACTCACACTTGCAAAACTCTTCGCTGCCTCCTCCACTCAGTCCATTCTCTGAAATCAGAGCAGTATTTAAAGCACTGAAATAACAAATGCAAGGTTTACACATCTAACCAATCCTGATGTAATAACGAAAAGGTTAATGCATCATTACGGCCACAAATTTGATTTGATGGATGGATCAAACAAACGCCTCTTCTGTCAGTCTGTGATACACAGAAAATCATTAGCATGCTGCCCTTTGAGTAAAATCTGTGTTACAAGTGTCAAAAGTGTAGCCAGTGCAAACACTAGGCTCCACAGCATGTGTGTAATCAGGAAACATGCGCCCGGTATTTGCTCAGCAGCATGATACGACCAGTTACCCTGTCGTATTAACATGGAGCACACGTATCCTTTCTCACGTTCCTGAAATGACCGTACTTTATCATTGAGTCAAATATGCATTGGATCATGTAGACAGGTCCTAAGAAGCAACATAAGCTGTCGAATTTTAACATGGTCCAATCGCCTCAGCACATACACGACTTTATTATATTGATTTTTATTGATTTACAAAAATATATTTTTAATGTAAATGCAACGAAAATATTGTTAATTTTGTTCATGGGTAATCAACAGGGAGAACATTCTCTAATAAGCCTGAAGATCCGTTGGGCATATCGCAACATTTCTATTCTCATGAAAAAAACACATTTTCCTCAATGTTACTAATGTCTTTGGAACAGCTGGCATTTTGCGCTTAATCCCACTTCGTTGAATTACGAGGATGTATACGTGTAGCTGAAATCAGAGCAAACAAGCCTATGTGCTTGCAGCTAAACAAGCTTGTTAACATTGTGCTATAACATGGTTCATGAAGGTGACTTGTATGGCACATACGTTGAACACTCAAAATGCCAACCCTTAATAGGTGGTTATTACAAAACACGCAGTCGTGCAAGGGTTTCTAAAAGCCTTTTTGTGTGGAATGGAAAAAATCTCTTAATCACATACCAACGTACGCCTCGAAAAGGTTTCAACAAACGTAAAAAGACACATTGGTCCAGTTGTCCTAAAGTGCCAAATCCCGATGTGAAAAAGTAAAATCTGTTCATTGGTTGACTATTAAATGTTTATGGGCATGCCTACCCATTTCGCAAACACCTGATGTCATCGCTGATCTTCATGTATATGACTTTCACTACAGTTTGTATTTTACGTCCAGTAGAATCTGTTTTGTCTAGTAATCGATCATTCACTGAAGTTGAATTTTATACATTTATTTATTTTTGGTCTGTCGCCAAGATACTATCCAAGATAAATATTCCACCCTTGGTATGCTTGCGTATGAATTTGTTCTTTACATGTACATAATACGAGACGTTTAAGAACACCAGGTGTCAAATTTTAACTGTAAATAATCCAGTCAACAACTCAGTCTAGTGACTAATATCATGAGCAATGCAATGCTATTGATCACATTCTCGAGCCTGACTTACCGAGTTGCAAAACACCCGATTTACAAGACTCAGGTTGTTACTAACCTAATTTAGATGTAATATTGATATCAGACTTTCTGATTAACTGAGTGAGTATGCCTTTTTCGCTTTTTTCAGCAATAGTACACCAATATCATGGCAGGCGACACCAGAAATGGGTTTCACACATTGAACCCATGTGGGGACTCAATCCCGGTCTTCGGCGTGACGATCGAACGCATTAACCACTAGACTACCAAACTCCTTTCTCGATTAACTAATTAACTTTAGTTTGAGAACAGAAGCCGTGCACCAAAGCGAAGAGAGTCTTGCTTAACTGGAAACCATGGCTTGTAAATAAACCGGACATGACATGAAACACTGACATCCTGGGTCATTTATATGACGCTTCACAGAAGTCTTGTGAATGTTTTATAGTCGCAGATCAATTGTGAAGGTAGTTTCATTTGGCATGCCATCCATGTGTGATTGGTTGCTAAAAGCGCCAGAGTCTATTAATACAACTGATAAATACATCCAAGCTTTTACAACATAAAAACATTCTAATGTTGTTGTTTTTTCAATCGTACCCCTCATTGTCCTTCCTAGTTTCACCTCCATCAGCTATTGGCAGAAAACTGAAATACTGATTAAGGGGGCATGACAAATCAACTAACTAAACAAGTAGTGTCACGAAAGTCTCGTATGCTGTTTTGTTCACATAATATTAAGTTTGGATGATACTTTAACATACACTTAGCGCTACGATTTTTTTTGTAGAATAGGGCCAATGCGCGTAGAAGTTTATGAGAATCTTTATTCTTTTTATAAACATATGCTTTAACTGAAATACGCATTTATGTATAATATTACGACTCTCTGTCGTTTCAAGTAATGGACATTTTCTAAATTATATCCGAACATGTCAAATTCTATCAGCTTCAGCGAAGAAATGGATATTCGATTATGCATAGCTCATGACATTGTTGCAGTAAATGTTTTGAAAAAGAATCGATACACTTCCGATCTGCTTCAGAGAAAACTGCTAAACTTAATGCACTATATTATGACATAAATCCCTTATGAATACTACAGATATCTTCAAACGCAAATACGCCTTCAATTACATTTACATGTTCCGTTTCTTTGACCCATTCTTTCCACTTGTAATGCGCTCTCTATAACTAAGTCAATCACAAAGAGCAAGCATGATCGACAACAACATCGCCCACATGACACGAGGACGATCGCTGTTGTGGTCACTCCAGCGAGTATTGTTCGACGCTTCACATACAGAAATGACGAGGAAAGTCAATATTAGTATCAGGTCCACTGCACAGCTCGTATCCGGCTCGTCAGTGCATTACTTCACAGTATAGATGAAACACCATTCAGTCTTAATGGGATCACTGAAACTGAAACGTGGGTTCAATGGCGGTTATTTATTTGATGGACATGGTCGTCCTACAAAGCACATACTCCTTGTTTCAGATTCGTATGATTTCCATGACAACTGACCTCAACTTCTGATAGTCACTGTGGTAATATTTTGCTTTTGGACTTACAACCATTCTGTAAATGTTGACGAATGGTGACTTTAGAAACGACTCGAGCTGCCTTTTGAACATGATACGGTAACATATCGGGCATGTTATACATGTCACCATAGTACAAATGATACTTAGGTTTCATCTATATATAACCTTTTCTATTTGGAATATTACTGGACATATCAGCGTTTTGCATACGGCAGACATGGGAATGGGTAAGTTCATGGCACTGGTCGAACATTCACCATACAGATAAATACTAGTAAGCGACAAAATCATTAACAATGAATGGTGTCCAACAACGCCGGAGAAGAACCACTCTCGGTTATCTGTCCATACAGATTCCACTCTCTATATTCCATTCCTTCCACACTAATATTAAGCAGATTTATAAATATTAGTTTCGAATCAGGCCTTTGTGCTTTGTTTGTATATTTTAGTCGTTTGTTTGGGTTATACCGTTATACCATGTTATGAAAGTTTCCATCATGTCTGAAGGCATTGCGAAATACATTCACATACAAGTCACAAATTCTATAGCTGTGGTTATTACAATAATAAAGTGGTCGTGGCAATACATTTTTCACACAAAACACACTAGAATATCGACTAAGTGATTGTAGCCGAAGGTTCAGAGACAACATATTGCATTTTGACGTCATGTTTTTGTCGCCCTGTGAAGAATAACGTCATAATGCTGAAATGCGGTGTACCAGAGCTTGAAGGCATGAGTATGCCCTAAACTGAACTAAACTAAAGCATAGTGACTTAATTAACCACTTTTTAAACGTATACAACGTCGTAGTTTGTTTATGTTTCATTATTGGCGTGTCCGTAATTCAGATCGTCTCCCTGATTATAACAGCTAAACCTTGCCGCTTTTACGCTTTTACTTACCAACGCGAAGATAAAAATGTACATACGTAAAGAGCTAGTTTACCAAAGATAAATATTTAAAATCCCACGCTCTGCTTTGTTTTCAAATTCAATTTGGCGCAGTTACTTTGTACCTTCGATCTATCTTGGAAACACAGATGATTATCTACTAATTTCACACAGCATCCTTTCAGACTCCAGCTCATTCTTTGAAGTGTGATACGGCCGTCGTCATCAGGGCATTCATCAGTTGAAGAGTTAGCCAAGCGAATGATGTCTGTTTGCCCTTCAGTGAAGATTTGTCTACGAAATGTAACAGGTCCAAATACATCTATATTTGTCAGTGTCATCATCCAAAGCCAAGTCTAAAGTCGTTGTATATTGTCCTCCCGGCCTTGACCATTGTAATTGTGACTGACTGGCTCATAAGCAAGTGCCAAAAAGAAAATTGCTTAACTTTGCCTTATCAACCAGAAAACTACTATCCTGTCCATTTTAGTCTTGGTTAAGTGACCTTGGATCTCGCTAATATCGAATGTGATCTGAAATTGCATATGCCATATGTACAAATTGAATTTCTTGAAAACCATCAATATTTTTAGTTGCTATCAACTGGTGACCCGCCTTGGGCAAATTGCAGCCTGGTCGTTCTGTCTTTCACCTACGATGCAGAGTGGTCGGAGTAGGATGGTTATACACATGGCATGGGATGGTTGTGTTCTAATTGCCTTTAATGAACCCTCAGAATTTAAGCTAATCATATCTTTATATACCAACTGAAATATCCATTTCAGATCCAGTAATTTTGAATATATTGAATTTTGAAGTATTCAATGAACGTGCACTTCAATAAACGAAAGTCAAATGTCATGCTGAACGTTATCCAAATGTCACGGATCGATATGAATGTGTACACACGAATGTGCGTTTCCTGAAGGTTTATGGCCACTATTAAAACTTATAACAAAGTGTGCCTTAACGTGTGCGTGTGTGTGTGTGTGTGTGTGTGTGTGTGTGTGTGTGTGTGTGTGCGCGCGCGCGCATTTGATGAATGTGGGTGAGTGAGTGAGTTTAGTTTTGCCTTTAGCAATATTCCAGTAATATGACATCGAGGGACACCAGAAATGGGCTTTCCCATGTGGGAAATGGAACAGAGGTCTTCGGCGTGATGAGCGACGACGCTGTAGCTACTACACTATCCCACTGTATGTGTGTGCATGTGTTAGCTTGCTTTACGTTTAGCATGAATGAGTAATATATCTTCTCGCCTGTTCATTACACACACATACTATTCAATAGTATTATGTCAATAGTTTGAAATTATTTATGAATGAAAAATGATTATATGGGCACTTCCACCTTCTACATAATTTCATTGAAATGAATCAAGCTTGTTTCTTGATCGAGCACGTATGTTAAGCATGGAACATATCATGAGATTCGTCATGTAGATAACTGTTACTTGTCCACACATGCACTGACGCAATGCCTGGCACATGATTGCTATGTTTACTTAGCCAGGGGAGCTGACAGTCCAGGGTCAGTTTCTCACATCGGTACAATGTGTGCAGCCCTCCTGTCCCCATCACGTCGCTGGGTTCATTACGATAACGGTATAGATCACGCTTAACACAGTCTGCTAGACTAATGCTTAGTCTCTGAATATATATATTTTAATAGTAAGCCAATTTAAATTGAAAAGGAGCCCTAGGTAGGCAAGAGATTCAGAGGAAATCTAGACTTGCTGTATTTAAGGCTTCAGCATTGCAGATAGGGCTTGGCAGTAGGGAAAATAATGTGGTTCAGGGACTGTGAGACAAACTAACAGTCTGCATGCAGTCCAACAGTTGTAGAGACTGTCGATCTAATTGGTAAATTAATATGCATACATTATCAATAGACTGAATCGCTCAGAGACTGTGTCCTTGACGTTTCAGTTATTCCGACAATACCATTTATACAAATCTAACATCTTATGTAACATCTGCTTTGAAAAACACTCTGAATGCAAAAAATGTCAGAATATCATTATTTGTCATTGATTTACTGTGAGTAAATGCGATTGCTTGTCTTACTGCTTCGAATGGTGTTCCAGTTATTGCACTGCGTGATAGCCAGGTGCGATAGGAGATACCAAAGTGAGGCAGGTAGTAGACAAATTTCCCACTTTTGTGACACCCACGAGCACCATGGGTACAGTTATGACTAACCAAACAGACATTATCAGGACGAGTCTAGGATTCAAACCAAAGAACCCGTGAACATGGGGTTAGAATTGGTCTTCAGCAAGCCATGCTGGCCGTAAGAGGCGACTGACGGGATCGGGTGGTCAGGCTCGCCGACTTGGTTGACACATGTTGGCATATCCCAATTGCGTAGAACGATGCTCATGCTGTTGATCACTGGGTTGTCTGGTCCATTATTTACAGATAGCCGCCATATAGCTGGAATATTGCTGAGTGTGGCGTAAAACAACTAACCAAACCAAACCCACGATCATTGGTTACAGTCAACTAAACGTCTCTGCATTTCGCCTTTTGGTTCAATATACCACTATAGTTTGGCATGAAATGCATGTAGACCCGTTTTTTTGTAAATATCTCTTCATCCAATGATCCAATCGATCTCAAACTGTGCAAGTGGATGTTTTGTCAGACAACCTAATCACATTGTAAATCACCGATTTTATGCATTTGTATTAAAGAATCTGTCTATTTAACTGTCAACAAAATAAACAGCAGAACGCAGACGGCTTGCAGAGGGAGGGAGCCAATGACCTGTAACAGCGGCAGTGTTGGGTCATAAAGGTCAACGTTCGTCAATGTAGATCAGCTATGCACGTGACAGGTATGAAGAGGTGTCACAGGTCGTCAATAGGGTAAGGTGGGTGCCAACTGTTAACCATCATACGGAGTTTGTTTCTCTGAGTTGTTCAACATTAACCACAAAACCAATTAGTGAGAATTATTCTGTAGGTTAAAATCTTTAAATTTGTAATGTTAATGTCATATTTTGTTTATGCAGTACCTAAGTGGAAATGCATTTAAAGAACACAGAAAGTATATTTACACTAAATCATTAATCGGACCACCTATGGTTAGAACTCAACAACTGTTAAAGGCCCGTTCCCTCGGACACAAGCGCACACAATCATGCACACTCATTGAAGAAAAGATAGAATGAAGACAAAAGTGTTATGTTTTGATGTCGTTCACATTCCAAATTAAGCAATGCATTTCTAATAGCTTTAAGCATATAGATAGTTAATATTTATATTTTCATGATAATTTTATGTAAAATGAGTGTTTCATGTTACACTATAAGTCGTTGGAATTAGTCAGTGCTGTCATTGTTAAAAGAAGTTATATTTCTTTGAGCATATCTGGCTGGATACTATTATTATCTGTAAATATAATAACAGAATTAAACATCATCAAGTTCACTCCATTTTTCCACAGAGGAGTCATCAGTGTCCAGACGAATGACAACTGGATTAACTGTTTGCTCCTTCAAGCCATCTTTGAGCCAGTACTCTTTCTCCACCTACTTGACATGTTCAATACATGCATGCCAGCGTGCAATATCAATGTCACATATAGCAGTGTTGACAATGTGCTTGACATCATTCAACTTGAATGATTGATTTTTCAAGGGCCACTGTACTTTTAAGGTCTCCCCAGATAAGTTCGATTGGGTTGAGATCACAGTGGTACGGTGGTAATCTCAAGACCTTATGGCCGTGTTGGCGTAGCATGTTGTCAATGTTATATGTGGGTGGAGGTTTGTTAGGTTTAATCAAAGAGTACAACTGTGGTTTAGTGGCCTTAATTGAAAATTTATATTGTTATTTGTTAGCCATTGCTGCATATCTGACTTCTTTGTATTGGAAGTTTGGCACCTATTATGTGGATCTCGAACACTGTGATAGGGAGCATTGTCATTTCTAGCAAATAGCCGGCGAATGACATCTCTGATGACCCTGATGTCAAAAGAATCTAACTTTGGATGCCTACCTTTTTGTACAAGGTTTTGTTTATTGGTTGTTGGTTTATTTTTCACAATTTTTAGCACGATGTTCTTTTTCATGCCAAGAGCAAAAGTTGTACGTTTCATGTAATCCGACACCTTATAAATCGGTTTGCTACGTTTGCTCTCTTTTTAAAAAACCCCAACACATTTCTAATTAAACGTTTAGCATCATCTGAATAAGCTTTCATGATGTCAGCTAGAAGTAGTCAATGTGAATGATCCAAACGGTCTATCACTGTGCAGTGCACAGGTAACTATCATGAACTGCACGTGCATTTACCTTTATGACCCAACACTGCCGCTGTTACAGGTCATTGGCTCCCTCCCTCTGCAAGCCGTCTGCGTTCTGCTGTTTATTTTGTTGACAGTTACATAGACAGATTCTTTAATACAAATGCATAAAATCGGTGATTTACAATGTGATTAGGTTGTCTGACAAAACATCCACTTGCACAGTTTGAGATCGATTGGATCATTGGATGAAAAGATATTTACAAAAAACGGATCCACATGCATTTCATGCCAAACTATAGGTCTATTGCTGTTATGTTTCAAGTAATACATTAACTGTATCGTATTCTTTTAACGGGGTAGAGGCATACTGAGTGACTTATGTCTAACGTCAAGAAAAATCAGATAGTAAACGCTTTAACGATAAAATTCGAAAGGATGTGCATATGTGATCTTTCCACGAGCTATCAGCTTCAGGCTTCCACAACATAGAATTTATTGGTAAAAGAAGATTCACGCGCTAACGTCTCCAAGAGTCTCACGTAAAACTGTTGTCACATACCAATCCTTTCACTGTCTAAAAATTGCCTGGACAAGAAGAGGTATTTTTTCCCACTTCCGAATTGTCGTTTATCTCAGGACAATTAGCATAGGATTCTAATGGCTGCTCTTCCGGTACGTTTCCCCGTGTCCATCACCCGAGACAATCTGCCGTTGATCCGCTCTTAAGATACCTACAAAAACATTCAAATTGCTTGCATATAAAAGCAGGGCTTTATTTACAGACATAATTAGCGACAATTTCCGCGCTTTTGATGTATTTGTTGTGTGTCGAAATACACACCACAGGAGATCAAATGGCTCAGACAAGCAAGATCCCAATCTTTACTGCTTCCACTGTGTCTATGGGTAACAAATCTATGGTCTTTCAGCAACAATTTAGCCTTCTCCAAAGAGACTCCTCATTGTAACGGGCCGTCTTCCATATACGTGTTTTCACTAGTTTAAATGTATTTGGAAACAAAATTGGTTATTCATCGACATTTTGTCTTTGGGCATTGCCTTGTTTAGTCAAACACCACGAAGTATTCACCGTGTCATATTCATCATATGACAGAAGCCTCTTCATTGTGCAATTGAGCTAGTTATAACTAATTTATTGTCATTTGTTCCGTGTACTTGAGACAGACAGTCGTCAAATCTCCGAGATGACAATGGACATGGCTGACGTTTGCAATATGATTTACTCGAGTATTATGTATAGAATTATTCCAAATCTCCTCAGTACATCCTATCTATTAAACTATTAAAATCATCTCTGCACCATAAACTAAGTGATTGCACTATTTACTACTCACTCGCTTCTGTTTATTCCAACGTCGTGCGTATATCACAGCGTTATCCATGTATACGTACATACCTCCAATTCCCAATGTCGCAACTGGCATTGGCGTATTGGAAAGAGAACGTATGCAGTGTCTAGTGTCCACACCTTGTACATGTAGATCTACGAATCTCCAACCACATGGGGAATACATCTTGCAACTAAAATTAGGATTGGGTGTTAACAACAGCTGGTGCCTGATATTGAAAGACAAGTATTGAAAGACAGGGATTAGAGAAGGTAACTTTCAATGTCACCTGCTAGAAAATATTTTGCATCCGTCAACTGTAAACTATTTTCTTGTGATTACAATGTCGATTTAGAGTGGATACAGCTGTTGTTATTGCTGTCGACAAAGATTTGATTCCCATAGTCATTCGCTCTAGACATGTATATTTTTTGTTTCTGTATATTTATTTGCAGGTGAAAAAATATTCCATGTGGCAATTGCATCACAGCATTTATTCCAATTCCACATGGATGTGAGAAATTCCAATTAACGAACAACATGGGTTTGCACTTTTCAGCCATGCGAGGTCGTGTTATCAACGAAATGTTAATCTGGAATGTGCTAATGGCGATTGATGGTTTTGGCCATTAGATTAATCGGCAATGTTCAACCTTTTAAAATATCTTGAGTAAATTGTCATCTCCTAAATTGACAAAGGTTTCACGATATGTATTAATAAATTCATAGAGATAATACATCGGATTAATTATTAAAGTTGCAGTTGTCACAAAATGCGGATTCGTGTTGAATATCAAATATCACCAAAGTCATAAACACGTTTGTAATTTTATTGAACTATATCAACACAATACAATGATGATTAATGACATATATCGACCTGTTACAGATATAACGCAGGAACATCAACAAGAGTAAATGACAGTCCACGCACAAACAACAAAATACTTTTACACTGCGCATATGGTGATCAATTCTTCACTACAAAAATATCCGCACTCTGTTTTCAAATATAGAGCATGTTATCAAACGTCTTCGTGGAAATCACGTCTCCGTCTTAGCACAGTGTCAACGTAAACATGAGGATGCCAAATCCAGGAAAATATGTCTATTTACAAATGCATCCACCTATATGGAAAAGGATATTATCAAAATATACTGATAACATATATTGTTAATATTAATAACGTCAAAGTGGTATTCCGATACACACAATCTTTTTTTTTAATGAAAAGGAGCCAAAGGTTTAACTTTGATTTCACTATCAACGGAATGAAGTTTGTATGTCAACAGATTAAAATACCTCATGATGTTTTATGTTTCATAGGTCAGTATTTGCTGAGGGGACAAGACTGGTGAGTCTTCCAAATCTGGAACTTGTACTGAATGTTGATTGTCTTCTTGGCGAAGATTTCTTCACCTTCCTCCTGATGTAGCAAACGGCCATATTGAAACGGTTTCGAAAGTTCTGGCTGAATATGCTGTAGAGTATAGGATTTGCAGCTGAGTTGACGTAGGCGATTATCACCACGAACACTTGGAATGTCCAGTTGTCCTCAAAATGCCTGGCATTGAAGGTATGATAAAACAGAAGAACCTGGTTAGGCGAGTAGCTGATGAAGTAGACGATAACACTCATGATCAGCATCTTAACAACACCCTTACGAGCCTGCAGGGCCTCAGAAGAGCGTTCCTTTGCCGTTCCGTTTTCGTCAAGAACTGTCAATCGACGGTGCAGCTTTTCAGATCCGAGGAACAGCTGTTTAGACACAATAGCGTATAAAATACACTGGAGGACCAACGGCATGACGTAGAAGAGACCAAACTCACTGTATTTGAAGACCATGATGTAGAAGTTATGGTGGACTGGGAAGTCCAGCATACAGTATTCGGTGGTACGCTGAGGATGGCCTCGCTTGACAGTGTTAAACAGGAGGGTAGGGGAACCACAGAGGATGGAGAACGGCCAGATGAATCCCACAACACAAGCTATCCGGCGTCGATTACACAAGATGTGCGCTTTGATTGGATGTATAATTCCAATAAATCTGAAAATTGAAATATCATATGATATCATATCATATAACAATAATCATTTAAAGAGAACATCAAATAATTAGAATGAATTATGCAAATGGTTTTAAATCAGGGGAAATAATTCGAGAATATTTAATTCTATAAGTTTCTGTAATAATTCTAGTAGCTGGACTTGTTCTGTGTAATGAGTATCTTGATAAGTGAATAATGTGTCCTACCGTTGTCAGCAATATTATAGCTATATCAAGTCGTTTTGTAGTAATCGTGTGTAGACCACATAGATCAGTGGTAGACAGCAAGGTCACACTCGTTCCTCATGTCTTCTTAATTATGATTACAGAATGGATTTTTATAAACGATGATTAATCATGTTTGTCCATGAAGAATAGTGTGTCATGCAACCCTAGTGCAACATCATTTTGACTGAGTGATGAGTGAGTGAGCGTCTGAGTAGGTATGGTATAGCAATATTCCAGTCATATCACTATGGGGGGATCATAGAAATGTGCCTCACACATGCTAGCTCTTTGGCGTGACGATCTAGCGTCTTAAGCAAGAGGCAACACCATCGCCCCAATTATGATTGAATTGGCATACAACCGTGATGAAAATCATATTATGGTTATTGAACAGTATTTGTATTACTTGTTGGCTAAATTACATCTGTGGTGGGAATTTACAGATCGCTAATAACCATATCTCTGTCTGTGACAGCAGGGGGCGGCTAATAAGCGAGATACTGGCACATGATAAATCGAATGAACAAGGTGGCTTCCCTGCTCCAGATATTTTAAACATCGGAATATTCACTAGAATGAATGGCAATGTCCGGTTAGTGTTTCCTTGAGGAAATCGAACATCCTAAAGAAAAATACTAATGATTGATGTTGTTCAAGCGAGAATGATTTGCATTGACTTCAGTGGTGATATCAGTATGGTTGCGTTTAGGCATGGGATGAGTATACATGTAAAATTCCACTTGACCTTGAAAACAGGCATAGTGGGTCAACCCAGGGGAATTTGAGTAAATTGCCTACAGCATTAGACGGTTCGTGATGTTGCTGACCCGATTTCTTCGGTTAAATCTCTTTCTAATACCTTGTTTAATCGTTTTGTGGGGGAATTAACTAAATTCTGTGCGGGTGATATCAATCAAGACAAATATTGAAAATTTTGTACCATTGAACTTGCTTACCTTTATTTGGTCATTTGCAATATTATCTCATTTTGGGGTGTACAATTTTATTGGCTGTTGAAAATAACACGTATTTTTGCGTCTTCATGTCTGGTGTAGCACATCGGTAATGCATTGAATATTCGTCAGTATACATGAGATCAAATCGGAGTTGGTTCGATTTTGATTTATTCAATAAGGAGACTATCTGATTTCCTCGCACATCTCCGTTATACCATGATATATTTAACGATTTTATGTGTGTACATTATCCTACATAGCTGTCAAGATCAGGTGGTACTCTCACCAGTTTTCACTCATTCTTGGATAAATGTGGTTGTATAACCTAATTTCATGGACACTAAATCACAATTACTGACGCAAATTGTGATGAACTACTTGCAAAACCCATTGCTATGTATATCATCTGTCTCGACGGATAAATCCCTCTTGGATTACTGTTTAAAATATGACTTCCCTTTAATCAGGTTTCACAAGTATTATTCGATAAGTGCCCAAGTCATGCATTGGAGCGGATCCACATATTTGACCTCAATGCGAGCTCACTGTTAGCTGAAACCTCACATGATCTTGTCCTCATGTTTATTGAATTATGCTAGATCGATTTACTCCCACTTCTTATTGGTTCTTTTTTTTTTTTTATGGTCCACATACGTCGTGTGTGCCTGATAAGTCCTATTCTGTTATGGGAAAACAAAGGGAAGCTGTTTTTATTTGATCTTTACGCCTCTCAGCATCTGCAATCTAATTCAGAAGGACATGGCATTACCATGTGTGATATAAATGGGCTCACGAAAGTTTCTTTGTGTGTCTGGCTGTTTCCATAACAGAATAATATCTCATGAATTAAAGAAAATTGCCTTATCAGGAATGACCTATGAGCCTTTCTTATCAAATGATATTCAATTATTCGCATTTATGACGTTGATTCTAATATATAAGATGGTTCGTTCCAGTGATTCAACTAATGTGGTCAACGTTTGAACAAAGTGCACTTTCCTCAGTCGGCAAAGATGACGTTTTGGGGTAATGAATATATGACGACTGGAATAAAATACGATTTTTTACAAAACATTTTAACCTAATGTTTCAACGTTTTACTAACAAAAACAAGTAAGTCAAAGGTCTTCTGTTCACCCAAAGTAGGTTTTGAACACTCTCAGAGAGTTTGAGAGACATATGTGGTTATATATACGAACTAATTCACAGTGTTTCATAAACGCAAATCTGCGATACCGTCAGAATCGTGCAATCGACTCTGCTTTAGTAGATTATTGTTCTTATGGAAAGGGTTTTGTCGGTCATGAATTATTTGATGCTGATCAAAGAACGCCAGTATGCAACAAAACAAAAAAACCAACAAAGAAACAATAAAGTTCGTATGTAAAGGCAAAGAAGATCGAAGAACAACACCCAACCAACGTAAAGACATAAGGCATATAAGAACAGAATAGATAGAGTGAAACAAATACGGTTGCTATTGCTATCGTCTTCTGAATAAGCTGTTTTCCGGAAATTACAAGAGTGAGCGAGTGAAAGGATGTTATTAACGCCGCTTCTGAACAGTATGCTAGCTATTCCTAGATCATAGTTGGATAAAACCTCCAAGCATTGTGGGCCTTAGACGTTGTCTGCTTTGCTGAAACCTATAAGTACAGACACTGTGCTGACATAATACAGAAACAAAATAAACATAATTAGGGCGAACCGGGAGTTGTGCCCACGGTCATGGGTTTCTGGCGTGCCGAAGGGAAATTACTACTGAAAAGAAACCTGAGTAGGTTTTTTCTTAAGAAATATGACTTACAATCAGCGTTACCATTGACTCATAGCTGAGATACGTTCACATGGGAACCTTCACTTACTATTCCAGGCATCCGACGTCCACAAATGACGGTATTTTATACCTGGAATGTTATACATGCATACTTTTGCCATCGTATTCAGAAAGCGTGAGTGTGCTGTCAGCTTCTGGCTTTCTTGGTTGTCTCAGTAACAAATTAATGGACCGTTGATGAATGCGGCGTAAACATCTTCAAGTTAATAAATATTTTCATAGACAAATGTTCCCATATTCCGAATGCCATTATTACCAAAACTGCATAGCTGCCCTTAACACGATTTCAGTATTTGAGATCAGTAAACACATGGTCATTGTGGACACATGGTCCTCTGCTCTTGTTTGTAAAATAAAAGTTATTATGATGAGGTGCCCAATTTCTGAGATGTTGGCAATTATCTGAATTCACATTATTTCATTTGGTAGCCCGGGAAACGAGCAAGCAATTCCACCATTTCAAACAATTTGCATGTCAATCTTTAGTGTCGATGTTCCACTAGTTCCAGACGGTACAAGGATTAGTTATTTTTCTCATGGCATAACTAATGTTCCTTTGAGAAAATGAGCAAGCTAAATCAACACTCTTAATCGATGCGTGCTGATATTCAGCATCTAGCACAACCCGCAAATCTCTTCTTTAAATTTACGTTTCCAGACACTAAACCCCCTAAAACATTTCTAACTTAATGGGCATTATATGTCATTCTAGAGAACCATGGCATTCAGTATCTGCCATGGGATAATAAAAGCGTCTACACAAATTCTTCGAGACATTTGTTGCTTTCCAGTAAGTTTATAACAGTTCCACAATTACAAGAGACAAATAATCAATATGGAAAGTTGTAACGTTTCTCATATCAGCACTGATATACTTTTCTAACTGCACCAATAACATATGAACAAGAATAAGTACACAATAAAAGCGAGCGCAAGAGGAATTACCAGCGATGCTGTGAACACTCCCCGAAGAATCAGCAACACCATGTCGAAGATTCGCGGATGTATTGCGCAGACTGCTTTAATCTTTGGAAGCATACATCAACTCTCAGGTTCCATCCTGCCTCTCTTAGCCATAGAAGTTTCAGTAATTGGAACACCTTCAGCAGCGTGTTATTCATGAGGTATTAGATGGACCTACCGTCCTGACGCTCTTAACCATAGAAGAACTTTCCGTAATTGGAACACCTTCAAAAGCGTGTTATTATTTATGTAATAGTTGGATCCACCGTCCGTTATTAATGTACTCGCAATAAGACCCTTCCAATTGTCTGTCTTCATCCTCTAGACCCTCTTTATTTCCCTACCTATCCGTTGCTCTGATCGCCCTCTACTTCACCATATAAAGGATAACGAGCGTCTCAAGGGACCAATATCTTAGCAGATCAATAAGCCGTCTTGACGGACGAAATAATTAACTGGGAAAGAATATCGTCATGGTTCGTATTTTCAGACAGGGGATGTAGTTGCTGACCAACACGTTCAGAATACCAATAGGCCACTTCACTTCACTGTCGCCGCACAATAAAAGGAACTGGCTCAGTCTGGCTGCATCCGGAAAGAGGACTTCAGGTCAAATCGATCGTAAACAATATAAACAAGATGGAATATAAACAACCTCATTGCTGACCTTCTTGGTCCTCCAAGTTTAGCAGAAATGTACACACAAATCTTTTGACATGCTTTTAGGAGAGGAATAAAACCTCGATTCCTGAACTTTTTTACTACATTGTATTTAGCTGTAGAGAAATCTTTGCCCTTTGGAAATGAACAGGCCGTCCTGACAGAAAGTGCCTTCAGTATCCGCTCTTTTGGTTTACCAAATTTTCCCTCTGGATCGTCATAGGTTTCCTTCCAACTTCGGCTGACGCGCCGCCCTTGATAGAAGCTGCTTCGTTAACACGTCGTGCACTCACACCAAACCTCAAACAGTGTTTAAGAAACCTTGCATTTCATTTGTTTTAAATAACATTTGTGATCAGAATAAAGTATGATACAGGAATACCACAACTCAAGATAATTTCAAGGACACTTGAATGTGTAGAATAGCGAAACCACAATCCGCTCTAACCCTTACTTAAATAAAACACCATACTTTCAGGTATGGTATATGAAGGGCAATTCCTTAATCACTTGACGAAGTTTTTTACCGAACGAACCTATGCCTAATCATGAATCTGTCACCTCCATCTCCTTAACAGCAGCAAGATTTAAACTATCAAGTTTCACGTCCAGGAATGATATATAGCAAATAAAAGGTTTATTGTTTTCTTTGAAATTTATTATCACATTCAGGTAGTTTATGATCGGTTACAAGAATAAAAATCGACTTTGATACAAGTGATTATTCTTTTATTTGACAGTCATAACCTAGGGACAAATAATTGTATTTAATCCTGACCCGAACCGATGCAATGATTACTCAGTGATATTGCTTTGTATTGGTATGTGTTAATATGGGATGCTTGTGACTGGTTGTCTTGACCTTTTTGTGACACTAATGTACCAAATGTCAGAATAATAGCTTGAACTGATGCAGTGTTGTGATGAGGATGCTCAGTTCGAGAATAGGTGTGTGTGTTTTATGAGCGAGTGAGTTTAGTGTTATGCCGCACTCAGCAATAGTTCAGCAATATTGCGGCGGTCATTGAATAATCGAGCCTAGACCAGACAATCCAGTGATCAACATCATGAGCATCGATCTACGCAATTGGGATACGATGATATGTGTCAACCAAGTCAGCGGGACTGTGTGTTTTATGGGAACCTGTAGTGGCAATGCACAGCACTAGTTCACGCTTATTTAATTGTATCTTGCAATCAGCATTTTCAATTGCCTATTTAACATCTAGAATTCCTAGCCTTATATACAGGTTCTAAATGTTTGGATGTAAAATTGAATCCATTAAAAATGTTACTTCATCCGTTAATGCTACTGTTATACGTTTGGATGGAGGTGAGTACACTCCACTACATTTGCTATACTTGTAGTCAATTAGAAGTGATTCAGAACTGAATTGACCGCCTCCGTGGTGTAGTGGTTAGAGCGTCCGTCCGGAGAGCGTAAAGTCGCGGGTACGATCCCCGACCATGGCCATGGGAAACGTAATTGGGTAACAGACATAAAACAGTTTATTATCATCTATCGGCTTCGGCAATGCCTGGCATGAACAATTTGTAGAATCTCATTCTCACTTTGTCTGTACAGTTAAACAAAGACCTAAAGATATATTCCTTCAAAATTGGTTAACTAGTCTCTCATTATCTAATAAATGTTTTTACTACAAAATGATAAAAGATTCCATATATGCAGAACATTATCTTTCAGTCTTGACCATAAGGAAATATAAATCTTCATTGGCGAGATTCCGCTGCTCCGCGCATTATTTATATGTTGAAACTGGGAGATACCAAGGTATTGAGAAAGAAAGTAGAATCTGCCAAATGTGCAACTTACACGAGGTCGAAGATGAGTTTCACTTCTTATGTGTTTGCCCAGCATACTTAGCGTTAAGAAATAGATATATAAAGAAATATTATTATGTACATCCTGAAATGCATAAGTTTATATCATTGATGAATAATTCCAGTAAAACACATATAGAAAGATTGTCCATATATATCCATAAAGCTTTTATTCTCCGAAAGAATGCTCTACTACCCGCACATGATTAAACAATGTACTACAGGCCTGTGGCCTTTCAGTATGAAATAAAGATTGATTGAGATCCCCGACCGCGTCATACCAAAAAGACGTTAAAATATGGTACTTGTTGGTCCCTGCCTGGCGCTCGGCATTTATGGGTACAACAAGGACTGGTCGGCTCGGAGTCAGTATAATGTGTCTGAGTGGGGTATTCATGCTTCACTGCGGCATGGTATCTCAGTGGGCTAGCACTATAAAACCAGCTTAAGTCTGGGCTAGTACAAGCAGTCACACATACACATACACATACACATGCATGCACGTCATCATATGAGCGAAATATTCTCCCATATAAACCCAATTTCACCTCACCTCACCTCAGAACTGAATTATAACGAACGGAAGAACTGCGATATCCTGATATCGAGAGGCACCAGTGTTATATATTTCTTTATGTCTTACGCTTGTTTATAATTGCATGATCACGGTCTTCTGGTTAATTGGGATACAAATTACCGCAACACACTATCAAATGACAAATCATGTTTTCGACGTCAGCTTGTGAAATGATGAACATCAATTATAGCAATAATTGGAAAATATGGTATAATCATGCATAGTAACCATTAGTTAGTGTAATTATTGTCTCGTGTGTATGTGTAATCCATACACGTTCTATTATAATGAACATATACCCTATTATCATGATAATCGTGTTTGTATTACGACAAGCTGTCAAATGGCAAATTAGATAATTGACCTTAGCCGGAGGGACCAAATGGCGAGACCTGATCCTAATTCATTCTCATGTTGTCTAACCGATTGGATTGGATGTCAAACATGTCAGTGATTAACGATGGCGAGGCATTTTTCATTTTCCTCAGTCATTATAAATAACCACATTAGTAATTCAATAATGATGCAGCATAACCATATAACGAATGACTCATCTCTGAATGCATCAAATGAAAACGTTATTATGAAAATGTCATATTCAGGTTAGGTACATCAGTGGAATGAAGTACTCGCCTAGTGTAGACAAACAGTGCCTGTGAATGCTTGAAGTCTTTACTCAGTGCAACAAATCCCTCTAAGGCCACCTTTGCTTATATGTCAATGTGAGTTAAACATAAACACATCAACTCACTCAGTCAATTTCTCTTTATATCATATATGAAACCAGTAGGGACTATCAAGGCATGTATATACAACAGGCACATATACTGAGGGAAACAAATAAGGGAACACCACTTCATTGCGGTGTTCCTTTGTTTATTCTTAGATTTCATTCCACAGCACTATTCAAAGCTGATGATGAAAACTAGAAAATATTAAAGGAACACCTGGATTTTCTTGTGCTCCCTTATTTGTTTCTCTCAATATATATATATATATATATATATATGAATAAATATAAAAATATATAAATATAGGCTTTGTTACATCTTGTCATGAGTGAGTGAGTGAGTTAAGATTTACAGTCACATCGGCAATATTTCAGCCATATCGTTACTAACCAAGTTCACCATAAATACTTGTAAATAATTAAAACCTGTCATCGAAGGACAAGGACAGTAAAACCAACTAGAATATCACTGTATCAAGGAATTAAACTAGCATCTCTCTCTAAAACTGAAATTCAAATTAGCACAATACAATATAAAAATGGGCTATAGATCGCCAGCAACTGAAGGTAGAACACCATACCAGGGACCATAGGGACTTACAGTGCCTTTGATATCTGCATGGACCCTAGTTGGATTTACACCATCCCTTCAGCCGCTGGCGATTGTAGGAAAACTTTAACCGAAATTTAAAAGAACAGAAATACTATGTTTAAAAATCTGGTAAGTTTAAATTTTACTTTGAAAGTTTGGGGACTTACGTACCCTCTCAGGAGGACAATCATTTTAGGATACTTTAACCCCCTTTGCGGGTACAGCCACTAACAATCGTAGTTGCTAATTTATTCTACAATGTTTAAAATACCATTGATCTCTTTACAAAACTTATGATTCAAAATGTATCTAATAATTCTCTTTCCTTTAAAAAATTAATTATTAAGTGATAATGAGCATTATAAAAACATCCTTAATTGATTTGACATGGAAATATATATCCCTTGTGACGGAAAAATCAATACAGTCAAGCCATCTTGTCATGACCGACTTCCCATCATTAACATCCTATCCTGAGGTGTAAATTTACGTTTTTTCGTTAATTCAAACAAGCTGAAAGAAGTAATAGTTTCTGGGTAAACATTCAACTGGAAACCAGCTTAAAACATTGTTAGTACATTTAGAATATTTCAATACAATATTTCTCTACACGCTACAGGCTGGTTTCATGTTCTATTAGAATATGGCAGAAACTTTATTAGACAAGGAAACTACCACATTGTTAAAATATGTGAATTAATATCATTACAACAATTATACTGTGAATGAGAACACAATTACGGTGTTGATATTAACAGTTTGGAGGGAGGGATCAGTAGTTCATCAATTCACACCATTCATCAAGAATGAAATCAGCACATCAAACTCCCGTTACATCTTCAACATGTCACACTTGTCAGTCAATATCCAGCATGCTCACCATGGACATCAATACCAATAGAAGATCTGAGACGTCTGATCACAAGAAACGGGAGAAATGAAGCATGTGGCACCCTTTCATCTGTTCGAAGGCGAACTGGTCGTGCTCTTACTTGTGGGTCAAGGTGATCCCACAAGGATTTTATGGGTGATACGTCTTGTGAAAGAGCTGGCGGGGATAGGATGTTACGTTATTGACGTGCATGAGATATCCGTATTTGTATTGGGCCTTACTATTTTTCAGAAGCAGAGTCCGTTTTTTGTGTTGCCAGAACGGAAGCGGGAATAAATTGCTCAATGTTAAACTGTTCAGTGTTATTTCCTGCAAAAGTCATCAGATCTGTTTGATCTGGTCCTGATGTCACCCCAAAACAAAATACCCCCAACCTCAAAATGTTCGACGTCTTTAACTCAACAAATGGCGTACGTTCTGCGTGGCAGTTACTCTTTCTCTCTGAAAAGCTGGAATCTTAATTCGCCTGTGATTCTTTGTCAGTTTCCACTTGACAAGTCGACATTTTGGAGCTGATCAATGTCGTCAACATCGTAGTTATCTGTAAGCTCTGGTACAGTAAGGACATTGGCCAAACTCACTCCAAACTGAAGTTCCGCTGAAATAGGTACTCGAGCATGTACATCCCATAGCAAAGTGTTTGGGCGATTGATTCTCAACACTTTTGTCACAATATTGGACTCAAAGTGTCAACTTTTCAGTAGAGTCAGGTTTCTTTTACTGGTCTGTTTAATGCTGGTGTTCGCTTTTAATTCACAGAATTATCGATTATGATCATCGCGAATGACATTAAACTATACACAACACAATAAATCCAACCAACTCCTAGAATGGTCATCTTTATACAACCTGTAATTCACCATGCTCACTGATACTTTTGTGGGCTATGCACGTTTATTGAGACTGCAGCGTCTCTATACACCAAGTCATTTACTATGGCTACTTATTCCCCTTTGGCATATATTCACTATGTTTGTTTTAAATATGGAGTCGCTATATACCAACCACACTCATTCATCTCTTGAAGATTCACAACGTTTGTTGAGAAATTAACAAACCTCTACTCTGACACATAGACAAACTCATCCACTGGTATATGTTTAGTGTTATACAGCTAAAGGCACCGGACCAATTTGTCTCTTTTGGACGATATCCAACTGTCCAATTTCATTAGCAGTATTCGTTTGGAAAAATCGTTACGGACTTGACCCGATTCATCAAGCAAACATTCCCCTAATCTACGGGTATGGAAATGTCCTTGAATGATTTGAATAATGACTTATAGAACGAGATCTGGTTGAACTCATTATTGATGACTGAATTCTTAACTCTGATCCCACTGTGAAACATACTCAAAAAGGGAGGTCGAGGTCAAAAACACAATAAAATCAATGTTTTCAGCTGTCATTAAATTCATCATATGCCATACCTCGAAACATAATCAGTATTCATAAAAAGACAGCTGGAGTCGGATGTCTCATATTACCACAATGTGCAATTAAAAGGATTTCGTAAATTATTTTTAAAAGGACGAAAACAAATCAACAAATGAAATATGGTAATAAAAGTGTATTTTTTATGTTGAATAATGCATTTGGATCATCAATTAAATGTGAAAATAGTGAAAGGTAAAAGAAGAGGTATCAGGGTGTTTTTAAACGTACTGCATTATACTATATTGATGTACATTCAGATCTTCTTTGATCTTATTGCCTTCTTAAAAACATATATATGGTTAAGCTTATACGATTTCTTACAAGCGTGTAGGTCTGTTGTCAGTATCTTTAAATAGTTTTGTTTGCAAATTGTCTACACAAGCATATTTCCTGTGAATTATTTTTACGAAGTTTATAAAACAGCATCCTATCGATAAGTGTGTTTTGTTTTGTTTGTTTTTGTTTCTTTGGTTGTTGTTGTTGTTCTTCTTCTTCTTGTTTTTTGGGTCGTTCACCAGGGAAACGTACTTGGAATTATATGTCTTGTATAAATGTTCTGATTCAGGAACATTGTCCCATTCAAAGAACAAGCGTAATGTTGATAATTATGCAAAATGTTTGGTGCAATTACGCTACAGCACAAATGTCTTTGCAAGTAGCTTGGCTTATGAACGTTTTATTATTCATGGTCTCTTCAAAAGGAAATTGGGCTTAACTCCCAAACGAATATTCAATTTTTGCATTATTTCACTACTCTGTTTTCTCCGTATGACATATTACATCAAAATGAAGAGACACAAATTGAATTATGATTTCACGTTATCTCCTTCCGCCATCTTTGATTGCAAGTAATTAAGTGTCAGAATCAGAAGACTACGACCTCAATCTGCGATCGCAGGGACACAGTTTGCATACAAATTGTTCTTCATCCTACAGCACTGGAACGTGATGAAATATCAGCTAAAACGCCTGCCTCTTAAATTCAGTATTTATGCATTTGTTTGATAACAGATGGATATTGTCTTGACATCAGTAATACTGTAAATCATTACAGGAAGCTGGACACGTTTCATTGGTGTGGTTTAAGAAAACAGGAAGTGTTTTGAGTATATCGCTACTTCCGTCATTCATTTCACTGTCTATGATGGCATTGCCATTTGGCGAAAGCAAATTGATAGTATTGAGTTCCAACTCCAGTCCAATCATGTTTAACAAAATGTCACCAAAAGATCAGAGAAAAGAAGGATAATTTATTGACGAAATCAAAACAACATATCCAGTAATTCTGAAGAACACTGTTCGCTAGTACTTCTTCATTGAGGTTTGGTTTCTCATCTTACAACACAAAGAGTATTTTGTGGTTTTGTATTGAACTTCATCTTAAAGGTGTCGTTGTTGTTTATAATTATTTCCTGTGCCCGCGGGGATTCACAAAAGAAATTTCAGTACGTGCAGATATTTTCCTCACAAAATTGATTGAATGTTAGGAACGGACAGACTAGAAAATTCAATGTTTTATGGCGCTTTGTTTCTTACATTAATTTCTCTAATATAAAAGCGACAAACCCCTAAAACATACATAAAGAAAGAACTATCTGCTGAAATCAGAGTTCATTAATGTTAATGGTTTCCATTACTGGATCAGACACGAGGGTTGAAAAAGTTCCGTAATGGTGAAATCTATTTTGAAGACATTACGTGATAGTAGGGATGATGCCCGACGTTCTTGAAAATGCAAATGCACATAGCTCCACCGGTGATCCATCACAAATACATGCAAAGGTTAGTCAAGTGTCACCTGAGCAAGAACGTGAACAAGTATTATTTCTGTCACTGATTGGAACATTTTGTAATTTGTTAAACCTATGGACCAGACAGAAAGTACATTTTCTGATTAAAGCGGTGAAAACCCTACTCATGAACCCACGTGCAAAACCACGATAAAATAATACATCATGAATGTCCGTATAGAAACATAAGTAACTTTGGATCGTATTTTCCTACAAATCATTACTTTTCATTTTATCACATTATGAGAGGGTCTGAGTTTAACTTCGATGGACTGCCTCGAAGGAGTTAGTTGCTTTGCTGAATTATTTTTCATCAAATTCCCTTCCAAGGTCCTCTTATTCCTGCCACCAATGCTGGAGAACCTGGATAAAACTGGTGCAGAAGTGGCTAACACAAGACTCAACAATGGTTACAAATCTCTCTGCACAATCAAATGGGTCTGCCTCAAAACGGAGGAAATTCCCATGAGAGAACCAGGAACGCTTCTGATCAGGAGTGAGAAGCCTTGTGCTGATTCTTTGTCATGTCAGGTTCATTCATTATAACGATCTCAACTCTCTCATGATGCTTTATTGGCTATGTGACGTGCGCGGTTAGTTGCCGATCATCCATTGTTTCATCAACATTTTCCTTAATGATGACAGTTTTAGGTTATCCTGATCTTCGATGTCAATAGTTAAATAATACTTCTACATGTATACATACTTTATTGCGAGTGAGTGAGTTGGGTTGAGTTTTACTTTAGCAATATTCCAGCAATATCACGGCGGGTGACACCAGAAACACTTCATAATAAGGCTCGTGTTAGTGCACACACACACACACACACACACAAGTGCTTAATTTACTTAAACGTGACTACAAATGTATACTGTGTACTGTATACTTACCTTTCAACACATATTGAAACGAGAGTGAGGACTGATGCGTAGAGGGCCATGACAAGCACAAAACGATTAACCTTACAAGCTAAAAGGTCCAGTATCCAACCTCTATTAATCATAAACTGGATTATCTCTGGTACGCCGAAAACCATAATCAAGAGGTCTGCGACTGCCAAGTTGGTTATAAGAAGATTAGTGACGGATGCCCTCATCTTCCTGTCGCATACAACAGCGTAAATAACCAAGAAGTTCCCAGTGATGCCAACTGTTCCGATGATGAAGAAAAGCACACTGAAACACACGACTTCCGGTAGTCCTGCACCACCCGAATGTGGCGTTTCGTCCGTGGAGGTATTCATCATTGATTCGTTGAGTGTCATTGTCAGGTTTTCAAACTCCGTTATGTTCATTTCGAAGCCCGAGAGTCGTTCCAACGATTCCTCCGTCTCTCACCTACAAATGATAAACACATACATATTAGTTCAAAAACCTGTACATGGCAACTTGGGGTTTGATTAAAATACCGGGTATGTTTTAGAAAGTATCTAAAGAGTGAAAGTGAATTTTTAACTGTAGCCGTTGAGTATTTGACATATGTGTCAAAATTTGGCAAATCACGTGAATGCTGACTATGTTTCAATACCAGTTTATTTCGCCTTATTTCTTAAAAAAATGTATACAGTGTACGAATTGGAATCCATTATATTTAATATATGTAAATAATAGCTGCTACATTATTCACTTGTACAGAACTTTAACACAAGATATATATGCAAGATGTTACGAAAGTCGGGATAAATCAAATGTAAGTTTGCGGTACGTCAATTAGTTCCGGGAAAGAACATGTCACTTGTCACGAGCAGATGCCATAAGTTACTAGATGGATCGATCATTCATAGTGGTACGGTTTGCATCATATGGCGTCGTCAGCCCATGATGTATGAGTCATGCAATCTAGATATAAGACATTTAAGATGTGATGAAAGTGTGCTTAATTTTCTAAACCTTTGCAGTGTGTCAATTACCACTGGTAAAGAATGTACAACCTGCCGTTAGACGAAATAATAAACTGCGAGTGTTCGACCAATCAATCAAAATGGTAATTTAATTGTATGCGCCTTGAGACACGGCTACCGTGATTAAAGGGGAAACCAATATGTCTTTAATCTGTTATATATAATTCATAGATAGGTTCACGTCTTAAAGATATATCACCACATCCGTTACATTCTTGGTAATAATTTAGTTGGAAAAGACAAAGATTATACATAACTTATAATTAGATTCATACAGTTCTTTTAATACGACTCAAAGTTAAAAGTCATTTTTATGGTGAACGGTCATCCAACAAAGATTAAATATTTGTGTACATATAAATTCCAGTGGCGTACAGTCATGTGCACGATGTGCTTGAAAACCTACGTATGGATGTATCGTGACAGAATCGTTGCACACCATTATCAGAGGGCACAACAACAGCTGCTGCGGATTTTCTGAATGCCGCAGGTCATGTGTTCGCATCTTACTGACCTGACATCCCTGCTGGCATTGATAAATCTGGACATTCTGGGACGACTGTGGTGTAGACAAGGAGGAGGATTTCATGATTCCAACTTAACCAAACATAACCGGTGCAGTGTCAAAATCGTTGATACCTATGGACCAGTCGGGTCACCAAACAAGATGAAAGATTCGTGTCAAGGTCGTCGATACCTACAGGCCAGTCGGGTCACGAGACAAGAAGAACGATTCGTGTCAAGGTCGTTGATATCTACAGGCCAGGCAGGTCACCAGACAAGGACAAAGATTCGTGTCAAGTTTGTTGATACCTACAGGCATGTCGGATCACCAAACAAGGAGAAAGATTTCATGATTCTCAACCAAACATAACCGGAGTCATGTCAAGGTTGTTGATACATGCAAGAGGGTCGGACAAGGAGAACGATTGATTAAAATTTAGCCAAATATAACTGCAATGGAGGGTGATTAATCGTGATTTGGGGGTGGAGTCAGTACCGCTGGTACAACTGATAACCATGTCCTACAACGGGACACCGTAACATGTGACACTTTCCAAGGGACTTCTGTTTAGGAACATGTCTTCATTCAATATTGGCTTTAGCAATACCAAACGGTGCACAATATGTGACGTATTCCTTTTCATAGTGATCATTATAACTAAACTTGGACTTAGTCCTACTAGGCAGTAGTGTAGTAATGCCATCACCCGCCATTCTTTTATTCGTGTTCAGAGCACCTAATCCTAAAGATAATTAAGGACTACACTAATCCTGAAACATTTGGACACATCGTTAAAGATGCACATTTGTATTAAAAGCTCTGTAGAAAAAGCAGCGATTGAATTGTAAGTAAGGACCAATTTTGGTCTTCACATTCTCAAGCATAACAGCAAATTGGGTACTAATTGATAAAAGTAGGACGACATGTGTTCACAGTTCAGTCCTTGAATTAGATTTGATCATCACGAGTACTAGAGGCACTGAGTTTCTCATAGTACCACTCTTATCGGAAAGTACTTCACGTCGATCTTAACTGATTGAAGAGACGGTGATAAAATGAAAGGTCCATGGAGCAAATCCTTCTATTTCTGCACTTCTCATGTACTCAACTGACATTCCTTTTCTAACAAGATGTTTCCATCCCTTTGGCCTTAATTTGCCCTGAAATACGTATTGACGGATGCTCATAAGACCACGAGGTGAACTATGATGATAAAAGAAAATATGTGTTTACACAATAAAGAAAGAATTTTGTTGAGAGATATGAGGTGAAATTGTATTAAATGTCACGTACAAGGTCATTACACGTTTTAATGCGTCAGGCAGGCTAACTGTTGCTATCGTCTAGCCAGGTATGGAATCATCGACCTTCGTTTCTCCAATTAAAGACGGTCTATTTTGAGAGAATAACATCATTGAGCCAGTTAAAGTGTACCGTTAATTGGGATGTCATATCAACTGGTATTAAATGTGACATCAGTCTTAACATTTTATGGTAGTGTGATTGTAACTTTAATTGCAACTTGGATAGAAATGATAGCACTCCCTGCCTTCTTCCCGTAGCGTTTCTGCCACCGTTGCATTTCATTACATGAATTAGGTTAACACACCAAATGGTTCATAAATACTGCCAGCTAGTTTGGTTTATGACCATGGGCGAACACCAGTCCTGAATCTGAGAGAAAACCACTTCTCTATAAATATTTAATCTTCCCTCTTCACGTTAAAGATATGGGTGGCTCTGATAGAACGAGAATATAAAATACTTAGGGGCGGTATGTCGAGAACACGGGCTAAAACCATTGCGTGGTTCTTTCTTTCATGATATATTTAGCTACGTATGTGTGTTCCTCAAACGAAACCGCATTGCATGTATCGCAAATCGATACCTACCAACAGAACACTTACACACGTAATGTGGTGGCTCAAAATATTGCCCAGTTTTGTGACGAAATCCGTACCCTATTTACAACGCGTTTGTTAAATATGAACTCTTTTGGTGAACATTACATTTGCAAAAGAGAGAATTCATTGTAGAAGGTTTTAGATGTAATTGCAAAGCTTTGTTCTTGTAGAACATTAATTCACAAAGAAATCTTATGAATATGCATTTTACTATTAGAACCTGTAAGGTCCTGTGAGCCATTCGATGTGAACCCTAAAATGAAGAGAATTACTTCACGGGAGGAGGGGGATCGACAGTTACTCACGCTTGCCTTTTGTTCCGCTGGCTACATTGAGGAACGGCCAGCCAGGCGCTGTGACCTGACTGATTGTATGTCAACGTAGCCCAACGGCGTGGAATGTTGATCATGCCATCAACAACAGACTGACATCACACAGATGCGACTATTTACAAGCAAGTGAGATATAGCTGGAATGTGTCTGACAGCGAGGCGGAACAGTAACCAGTAACAAAACAAGACACATCCTCGTTACACGGATGCAACGTAGAGTTTTAAGGGAGGATTTAATGCGTCCGATTGACCATTTAATACATAATAAGGCGATACAACTGCACAAATTTATTAATTTACAGTTCTTTCTTCAATTCAGGGTAAAACTGAGATGACAGAGATTATTGTGACTGACTGGCCGTCTCACTGAGAATAGTTTAACGCCGGTTTGAACAGTAAATCAATTAAATTTCGGCGTGTCAGAAGGGAAACTCAAAGGGATGCAAGTCTAAGACGTTGACCATTATGAAGAGATCCATGAGCACCAGTAAGGTGCTGACATAACTAGTGCGCAGTAAACCTTAAAGGAGGTTTGCTCTTCTCAACTACTCAAAGTCTTCATTTTTATACTTTAACCCATGGCTTCAAGTTCATCATGACAACTTCTACATTTTGAATCCCCACAAAACGATCTCAGGAGTGCTGAGAAACAATAACATGAACTTGTACATATATCTTTCTTAAATTCATGGTTTCGACAATATAGATTTGAAACTAGCGGATACCTCGTCTGAAATAAATACTCACACATTCCAGACTTACAATTGACATTCTTTCCCCGTTAGAAGCGGTATAAGAGCCGACATAAGAGCGGTATTACCAGGCGTCAGAGTCCCATTCAAAGTTTCATTTCGACAATGATCGTGAAAGCCAAACACGTGTTACGCGTTTGGTCTTCTTCACTGGCAATTACTTAGTTTCAACCATTAGGTAAGCAATCGTGTTTTCGGTTTACAAACCTTTAAGATGTGTTACTTTTGAGGTCACTGTCAAAATAATTCCTTCCAGAATAGTTTGGGTTCATTGCTGACGTAAAAAGACAATACTTCAACAAGTGTACCAGAGTAACTTGACATGATCTACTAAACAAACGTATGTACATGTTTTTGTGTACGATAAATATAAGGAACTAAAACATTCTATAATCAGAAGAGGTATCTGTCACAAGTACCCAGTACCAATTACTAGGTGGTCGCTGAAAGGTGAGCGTATTTTGCAGTACCCGTGGATTCGGTCGTAAACACATGCAAAGGCACGTTAATTGAAACAATACGGAAATACCTCATGATGGTGAGGTGAGGTGAATTGAAATTGGGTTTTACGTCGTGCTTGAGAATATTTCGCTCATATGACGACGTGCATGCGTGTGTATGTGTATGTGCGGCTGCTTGTACTAGCCCAGACTGAAGCTGGTTTTATAGTGCTAGCCCACTGAGATACCATGCCGCAGTGAAGCATGAATACCCCACTCAGACACATTATACTGACTCTGAGCCGACCAGTCCTTGTTGTACCCATTAATGCCGAGCGCCAGGCAGGGACCAACAAGTACCATATTTTAACGTCTTTTTGTATGACACGGTCGGGGATCGATCCCGCGACCTTCCGCTCTCCTGGCGGACGCTCTAACCACTACACCACGGAGGCGGTCACCTGATGATGGTGTAAGTCAAAATAGCACATACGTTGAGTGACA